CTACCGCGAGAACCCAATGGCGTACGAGCCTCCAGTGATGTGCCACTGCTCAACTCCGAGGAAGGCGCCAAGATGGATCTCCTGGAGCAGGTTGAACCCTGGTAGAAGGTACTACAGCTGCGTGGATGCTCTGGTGAGTGTGGTTTTCTACCTAATTTTCCTCCTTTTTTCTGTGCAATAGTATGTGAAATGATATATATTTGGACCTTATGTTTGTGCATCTTAATAGCACGGTGGTTGTGAATTTGTGCAATGGCATGATGATCCATTGCCCAAATTTTGGAGTGAGCTCATTGGGGATCTGCGTGATGAAGTCTGGAGGCTTAAAGGTGCAACTGTTGCTCGATCTGAAGATCAATTTCCAATGGTAACTCCCAATGAAGATGATGGCACAAGGGAGGCCATGGTTCTGTCTCTGCAAGCTCAAGTCAGAGAGAAGAATGTAGAGATTGCTGGGATTAGGGCCAAATTTCACAATGTGCTATTTCTTTTCACTATATTTGTGCTTGGCTTAGTTGCGGGCAAGATCTTAAGTTAGTTAGTTAGTTGTTTTATAGCAACTAAATACAATGTACTGTCCTCAAGTTGAAGCCAAGTTGCTCTTGTTTAGTTAGTTAGTTGGTTTAGTTAGTTGGTTTAGTTGGTGTAGTTGCTCTAGTTTAAGACAAGTTATCTTTTGTATTGTTGCTTTAGTTGCTCTAAATGCAATGTACTGTTGGTTTAGTTGCTCTTGCTTAATATGCAATGGATCAGTGAGGTTATCTTCTGATGCAATGAGATTGAGTCAGTCTTCATCTCTTTTATTTTGTATGACATGAGTGGTTTGATGCAACATTGTCATAATGTATGATCATCAGCATATCCATCTACATAATCAGCACTACAAAATAAGAAATTGATCCATGTCTACCAATCATACCACACATTAAATTCTGGAGTTCAACTCATTATAGCCATACATAACCATTTGTTCACAATACATAGAGGAATTCAACTTCAAATGCATAGTTCATCCTTTTCTCACAAAAGGATGAATAGCATAACTACTACATACATACACAGCCATAGTTCACAATTAGTACAAGCATACAGCACACAACCTTAGTTCCTAGATGCTAGGTCATTACACAACCATCATTCCCAAAGGGTCAGCAATGCCACTGATCTCATTTTCATCTTCTTCTTCACTTCTCCAAAATGGCCTGAATCCCCTTGAACTTCTCCTTCAGCTTTTCATTTCCCATCATGAGCTCAGCATTCCGAAACTCTAACTGCCACTTCTCTTGAATATGCTTTTCCTTTTCCTTAAGCAGATCAGCAACCTGAAGCTTCAAGTCTAGTTTCTCTTGGGTGAGCTTCTCCTGACACTTTGTTAGCTCTGAATTCTTCAGCTCCAAATTCATCCTAGCTTCAGTAAGCACTTGCTTCTCTTTCATTTTGTTCAACTTCAAGTTCTGAATGACTGTTGCTTGAGCTCTTGTCAAGTTGACCAGCAGCTCATACTTCTGACTAAGTTTCTGGGTCCCTGCATCTTTCTTTGCAATCTCAGTTGCCATCTGTGCCTTCATATCATCAATCAGTTCTTTTCTTACCTCCTGCTGATATGTAATGGCAGACTGCGGATGTCTGAAATCCACCACCCTATCCTCCTGGAAGTTCATAAGCTGATGCACATCTTGGACTAGCTTGTCATAGTTGGCCTCCAACTTGTTCTTCTCTTCTGTCAGATGGTGGATAGTGAAAGAACTTTCAAGATTGTCATTCACCCTAGCACTCTTGGCATCTTCAACCATTGCCCATAGCTTCAACAATGCATTTTGCATTGTTGAGGGCCACTAGTGATCAACCCATTCAACAAAGCCACAATTGCTACCTTCCTGCAAAAACAACAACAACACCAACAGAGTTCATACAACAAGTAATTACACAAGATCACTGAAATTGCCAACAAGAATATCTAAATTTAACAAGAGGAGCAGCCACTTGAGTAGCTGACAGACTAGGTTAGATACTCTAGTGTTCATATCAAGGTGTGTTCAACCATTTTTAAACATATGGTCAGTTAAAAAAATTCACAGCAAGCAGAGTACTCCAGCAAGCAAAATATGCTCATGCTTGACCTAAATAAGCTACTCTAGTACCACTATGAACCAAAATTACTATGCCATTGTACTCCAGCAAACAAAATATACTCATGCTTGACCTACATAAGCTACTCTAGTACCACTATGAACCAAAATTACTATGCCATTGTACTCCAGCAAACAAAATATACTCATGCTTGACCTACATAAGCTACTCTAGTACCACTATGAACCAAAATTACTATGCCATTGTACTCTAGCAAAATATACTAATGCTTGACCTAAATAAGCTACTGTACTACCACTATGAACCAAAATGTTCACAACAAGCAGATTACTCTAGCAAGCAGAGTTCAATATAGCACTAACAAACTAAGAAAAAAATCACTATGCCTACAATCCATACCGGCTGTGCACATGCTAAAAACCTCCTGCCTGTGTCAGTTCCTTCAAAGGCAACAAGCCTTTCAGATGGTTTGTCGTGCTTCTCACATGGGGACATCACATCCAGCTCAAGCCCCTTGTAATCTGGATCTTCAGGGCTGAAAGGGACCTGCAGAAGCTCGCACAAAGACAATGGCCAAATCAAAACCTACCTAAATCAACCAAATCAAGTAATCCCAAATCTGAAACCCTAACCCTAAACTCACTGTCCTGACCTGGTTGAGCCCGTCGGTGGAGGAGGAAGAATGCATGTACGAGAGGCTAGACTGGTCGTCGCTGCTTTCGTGCTCCAAAACCATGGCGTCAGCGGGGCGGTGCGGCGGCCGACAGTCGGGACGCGGGCGGCGGCGACGGAGGGAATGAGTCGAGGAGGAGGAGGGGAGGGGAATGGTGCGGTGGGGGCGAACCGGTGCGACCGGACCGGGTTGGAGAGCGACTCGTCCTAGTCAGCGCGCGGGCACGCGCCGATTGGCCAGCGTGGCACCTGACGGGTGGGCCCGAGGTGTCGGATACAGCGTCAATACGTATAAATCAGCGTTTTAGCCCTTTTTGCAAAAACTTGGACCAATGTTGGTACTGACTCGCAAAAATTAGCAATCGTGGTACCAATCTACATGTGATGTCTCAATTATGATACTTCTGTGCAATTAACTCCATCGTGTCCGATACTCCACGCGTTGACTGCCCATCGTCTCTCCCATATCACGTGCTGGCTTGCTACCCAGAAGAGTCAACGCCCCAGCTTGACGGAAAGTAGAGTAGCATCCAAAACGAAATGGCCACACATTTTTTGACATGATGGAACGCAGCTCTATTAATGGATCGGTCCAACGTAGGAGTATACACGTCCACCGCACTCCAGCGTGTACTTTTTCTCTTTTGAGAATTGAGATGCACTCCATCCAACACGCACTTTTTATTTGCTCCCATGACAAGTTACGCACGGACCATCATGCATGTTTTTTTTAGCATCAGTACAGACATAAGCGCTCATATACACGCGCATACACTCATCCTTATGAACGCACACACACCCTACCCCTATGAGCACCTTCGAGAGACTGAGCCGGCATATCATCTTGAGATTTACGAAGTCACCGTAGGCGCCTCGTCGTCGACGGGAACGTCTCCTCCTACTGAAAGCGCATCGCCGAAAATCTTGAAACAAATCCAGAAATAATGCGAGCACCAGGATTTGAACCCTGATAGGTTGGGGGTACAGCTGTCCATCTAACCATTTCAACCACAGGTTGGTTCGTGACCATCATGCATGTTAAAAAGAGTCCATGCATGGGGCTTTCGCGTCTCGATCGATCGTGTGGCTGTGCTATACGGCCTACGGAGACAGACGATGGACAAGAAGTCGGACGATCGGCCGGCGACGGCGAGGAGGGACGCCAAGGAGGAGCGGATGGGCAGGGCGGGCGTGCTGCTCATCGTGTGCCTCTGCACGCTGCCGTTCCTGGTCTTCCTCTTCGGCGGCCGGGCGGGCGCGCCGGCCGTGTGGCACGACGCCGCCAAGCTCACCGCCACGGCTGGATCAGGTACACGATGAGCAACTTCTCTCTCTTGTGAGCAAATGTGAGTGCAAACGTACGTGGAGGTAAAGCTTACAAGAACTTGTCGTGCTTGATGATCGATCCCTCCTCAGGGTTAGCGAACGTCTCTCGTCCAAGCGCCGGCGGCGGCGCAGACGAGCTCTTCGGCGGCCTGCTCGCGCCGGGCTCCGACCGACGCGCGTGCCTGAGCCGGTACCGGCCAGTCCCCGCATTACTACAAGCACTCTCCGTACGCACCCTCGCCGCACCTCCTGCAGAAGCTGCGCGACTACGAAGCGCGGCACAGGAAGTGCGGCCCCGGCACGCCGCCGTACGCCAGGTCCGTCGATCACCTCCGCTCCGGCGGCGGCAGCAGCACGGAGGACGATGAGTGCAACTACGTCGTGTGGATCCCCTATAACGGCCTCGGCAACCGGATGCTGTCGCTGCTCAGCACATTCCTCTACGCGCTCCTCACCGGTCGCGTCCTCCTCGTGCACCCCACCGACGACTTCACCGACCTCTTTTGCGAGCCGTTCCCCGGCGGGACCTGGGCGCTCCCGCCGGACTTCCCCGTGGCAGACATGTCCCGGCTCGGGGCGCGCTCCAACGAGTCATACGGGAACCTCCTCGACAGCAAGAAGATCTCCAACGACCCGACCAAGGCGACAGCGCGGTCGGTGCCACCGTATGTGTACCTGCACCTGGCGCACGACCTCCGGCGCTCGGACCGGCTCTTCTACTGCAACGATGACCAGCTGGTGCTGGCCAAGGTGAACTGGCTGCTCTTGCAGAACGACTTCTACTTCGTGCCGGCGTTGTACGACATGGCCGAGTTTGAGGGCGAGCTCCGGCGACTGTTCCCGGCCATGGAGAGCGTGTGTCGCACCTCCTCGGCCGATACCTGTTCCACCCGTCCAACTCCGTGTGGGGCATGATCACGCGCTACTACCACTCGTACTTCGCCCATGCGGAGGAGAGGATTGGCGTGCAGATCAGGATGTTCTCCTGGGCATCCATCCCCGTCGACGACATGTACAACCAGATCATGGCGTGCTCCCGACAGGAGCACATACTGCCGGACGTTGACGGCGACGAGGCCAACACGGCGAGCGCCGCGGCCGACGGCTCCAACAAATCCAAGGCCATCTTGATCGCGTCGCTGCAGGGCGAGTACTACGAGAGGATCAAGTCGACGTACTACGAGAACGCGGCGGAGGGCGGCGGCAGGGTGGGGGTTTTCCAGCCGAGCCACGAGGAGCGGCAGACGATGGGGCAGCGGTCGCACAACCAGAAGGCGCTGGCGGAGATCTACCTGCTCAGCTTCTCCGACGTGCTGCTCACCACGGGGATATCCACGTTCGGCTACATGAGCAGCAGCCTCGCGGGGCTGCGTCCCGCCATGCTCATGATCGCCAAGGACCACAAGGTGCCCGAGACGCCGTGCGTGCGCGCCGTGTCCATGGAGCCGTGCTTCCACATGACGCCCGATGTCAGGTGCCAGGGGAAGGCGGTGAACAAGGAGGAGCTGTCTCGGCACGTCAAGGAGTGCGAGGATGTACCCAAAGGGATGAAATGGATTAAAGGCATCAAGTTAGTTGATTAGAAATTAACTGGTCATCAACCCGTGTATCTCAAACCAATAGTGTATATTTTACCACTGATGAGTCGACTTGATTTTTTTAAAACGTGATTGCTAAATCTCAGTTGATGCTATATTCGTGATGACAGGAAAATCACACGTTGCTGTGTGTGGTGAGGTAAGCAGAGTGTAAATTATCATGTACTCGGCTAACGTAAGCGATAATCCTACGCTTTAGCTAGATTTCAGTCAGCTGAATTTTAATTTTGTGTTCGAACGATTTTCTAACCCTTGGATTGTGCTTTAAGATTTGTGTAGCTTTTCATTTTCTGTCAAATTTTGCTGGTGGTATTGGGTTGTTTAGATTCGATTGACCCCTATTTTGGGTCAGTCAATTTTCTTCTTGGGCTGGATTTTGGTGTGTGTGTGTGTTTTTTTTTCATGTGTTTACTTTTGTTTTCTGCACGTCTATGTTTTTTTTGTTGTTGAGTTTTTTCTTCTTCTTTACGTGTATTTTTGGATGTTGAGTGCGTGAGAATGTATACATGCAAGTACTACGTTTACAAATTACATCAGAGTACAAAAACTTTACTCTTATATATATTTATTCTACATATTACAAAAAGTGCATTTTTTTGCTAATTGTGTGATTTTTTTTCTTTTTTCATTTTCTTTATTCTTTATGGGTGATACCAATGCTAATTGTTTTGTGCACTTTTTTTGCTAATTAAATAGAATTTTCTATTATTATGTGTATGTATGCATGAAAGTACAATACAATATGTGTGTAAAATTGTACTAGACTGCTAAAGTTCCATTATTATATGGGTATTCGCTGCATATTCTAAAAAGTGCAAAGTTGTGTGCAAGTTTTTTCTTTATTTTCTTTCCTCTTAAGAGTGATTTCAATGTCTCTCTCTTAGAAAACTTTATTTTTTTTATTATGTTTAGTTTTAAATTCATTTCATGTTTTTAAGGACGATAACAATGCCACTTATTCGTTCCTTGTTTAAATTTTTCGTTTTATGTAAAATTCACTATAATATGTTTATTCTTACATAACTACAAATGTAGAATTTATGTGTAAATTGTCTGCACATTACATCATTATTTTTTGATTCCTTTCTTCTTAAAGGGTGGTACCAATGCCACTATACTTCATTTCTTCTTAGAAAAATATATTTTTGTGTTTGTAAGCAAGTATACATGCAGGTACGATACACCATGTGTGTAAATTATAGTAGAAGCAAAAATTACAATATATATGCTTATTTTTGGTAAAACTGTGTCTACCATAGCTTGCCACAGAACTAGTTAAGTGTCCCTAAACTTTTAACGGTTCAAAAGTTATCAAAAAATATGAAATAAATATGGGAGCATCTCTCTAATGTAATAAGATGATCCAATGGAGGGATTGTCAAAATATGCATCTATGTGTCCTCGGCAAAAATAATAAACATTTCAGCTCACTGCGACATAAATATATACTGAACTATTTGTTTTTTTGTCCAGGACACATACAGTCGTATTTTTTAATCCCTCTGTTGGATCATGTTATATTATAGGTGTGTTGGTTCAATATTTTTTTCAGAATTTTTGAGAACTTTTGCACCGTTGAAACCCTTAACTAGTTATGTGGCAAGCACTTGTAGAAAATCCTACTCCCTTATTTTTGGCATATTAGAAAAGTGCAATTTTAGGGCATACTTGTGTGCAAGTTATTTTTGAATTTTATTTCTTCTTAAAGGTTTTCATTTTCCCAAACTTCATTAGTTTGTGTTGGTTTTTGTTTTATATTTTCTTTCTTCTTAAAGGGTTTTATTCCCGTTTTATTCTTTAAAGGGTTTTTGTTTTAATTTTAGTTTTTGTATTTTGTTTTCTTGAAGGCTTTCATTCTTCCACAGAAAACTTCATTATTTTGTATTTGTTTTATTTTTTATTTTCTTTCCTCTTAAAGGGTTTCATTCTTTCCTAGAAAACTTTATTATTTGTTTTTGTTTTTGTTTTTTATTTTCTTTCTTCTTAGAGGGTTTCAATCTTCCCTAGAACATTTCATTATTTCATTATTTATTTTTATCATCTTTCTTTTTAAAGGGTTTTATTCTTCTCTAGAAAAATTTATTATTTTCTTTTCATTTAATTTTAATTTTATTTCATTTTCTTTCTTTAAATGTAATACCTTTATTTTTGCATACTATAACAAAACACAATTTCTGTGTAAATTGCGTGCAAATTTTGCCATCACGTGGTTTTTATTGCCTTTCTTCTTAAAGGGTATTGTTAATGTTCGTTTTTTATTCTTTCTTCTTCAAGGGTAATACACAAGCCAGGGAGTCCACCCGCACAGGAGCATGCTGGGCTTGGGATTCAGCAAACACGTCAATCAACTGACCTATAGCCGTGAAACGAGTTTAGGTCAGTCGACTGACCTATATCCGCTCCCATAATCCTACACCTACGAAAGAGGCTACAAAGGCCTACGTAAATTTCCTATCTAAACCTATCGGGCCCCCTGATTTTAACGGGGGGTGGAACCCTTCCCCTCTACTGATCCAGTTAAAACCTTCCACGTTACTCATTGCATAGATCACGTAACAATTTTTACGTAGCTCTAGCATTACTCTTAATATAAATGTAAACTGAGTATCAGCAAAAAAGCACCTGGCTTGCATAGGTCACTCGGCTTATCCAAATATAAACCAAGTCCCGCTCAAAAAACACTTGGCTTACATAAAAAAAACTTGGCTTATTCGGCAAAAAACACTCATGTTACATGAAAGACTTGGCAAATTAGACTAAGGCAACCGGAAAAGTCGTTGGATTCTGAAGGGGCACATTTAGTCTAAAGTTTTAGGTTTCGGAACTTAAATTTTCGTCGTTTTCTCGTACCAAGTTTCAGCAGTTGAAACTTAGCGAAGTTTTAAAAATTCATCAAAACATGTTCAAAATGGAACTTATTTAAAATCACTCATCAAAAGAAACACGAATACACAAATGAAACTTAATTTAGATTTGGTTCAAAAGATATGAAAATTTGAAAATTGAAAGCCAAAAAAAATTAAGGTTGCGTGCCCCGACCGGCCGACCCTGCGTGCCATTAATCTCCTCCCTAGTATATCAACTGTCTTGGTGCCGGAAGTCAAAAATGCACGCTAAACAATGGATAATAATTAAGCATGGCTACGGCCATTTGAATCAACAGTTTTACTGAAGCACATGTAGATATGCTCTAATTATTGTACATCTAAGTCTTATGCCATTGATTTTTACGTTAAGATTTATGCAAGCTTTTTCTAAATGTTTGTTGTAATATTAAGGTAACTATGGAGAAAATATCTAGTGTTCCCCGGCTTGGGGTGCTCCCGGTGCTCCAAATGTCCGAAAAACATTTTTAGAATGTTTAAAAAATTCTGAAAAAAATGCAGCACATCGACGGAACATCAATGTCTCTTGTCACAAAATTTCAAATCAAAATTCGAAACATTGCTTGAGATACAAAAATGACAAATTTGTGTACATAACATAAGTTGGGCTTTAGTTTTGGCCCATTATCACATTGATGTCAAATTTGTCATTTTTGTATCTCGAGCAATGTTTCGAATTTTGATTTAAAATTTTGTGACAAGAGACATCGATGTTCCGTCGATGTGCTGCATTTTTTTCAGAATTTTTTGAACATTTTAAAAAATGTTTTTCGCATCGGAGCACTGGGAACACCCTAGGCCTGGGAGCACTAGATACTTCCCCGGTAACTATGCATAATTGATAGATTCCATAGTAATTAAACGACCACCTTATTGTTTATTGTTTTTGATATAGCTAAGTGGTATTAAATGACCATTTTATGTCTCACAAGGAGGAAATCCCTACGTGTATATACACAGCGGCATGAAAAAAATAGGATAAAGAGGATATAGGAAAAAATAAATCAATGGTGGTATGCAAAGACACTACAGAATAGGTAAGGAAAAATACCTTAATAATGGCGCAAAACATAGCATGGAGATAGATTCCATAGTAATTAAACGACCACCTTATTGTTTATTGTTTTTGATATAGCTAAGTGGTATTAAATGACCATTTTATGTCTCACAAGGAGGAAATCCCTACGGGTATATACACAGCGGCATGAAAAAAATAGGATAAAGAGGATATAGGAAAAAATAAATCAATGGTGGTATGCAAAGACACTACAGAATAGGTAAGGAAAAATACCTTAATAATGGCGCAAAACATAGCATGGAGATAGATTGACAGAATAGGTGAGAAAAATACCTTAATAGCTGCGTAAAAATGGTAAATGGAGATGCGGGGGATCGAACCCCGTGCCTCCCGCATGCAAAGCGGGCGCTCTACCATTTGAGCTACATCCCCTTGCTCATATTTCCCGTGTAAATCCTCATAATCAAAAGTTAGACACGGTCCTACTTCTGCGACGCGAAGACTAACCTCCATGGGCCAATGTTTAACATATGATGACCGGCCCACAGCCCACCTGTGTACGCCTGATGGCCCGTGCAGATTTAACCATTGGCCTCCACAAAAATTGTACAGCGTGGAGGGTTCAGCGAGGTTGGAGGGTCATATTAGTCCCACCTCGGCCGGAGGGAGTGAGCGCGTTGAAGGGAGGTCTTTAAGAAGGGACGACGCGCGACTGGGAAAATCATGATCCTTCAGGCAGCGAAGGGAAATGAGGAGTGGTACAGGCTCGCTTAATTATGTGAGAGGGGTGCCCGCCCCAATAAGCCTGTTACGACAGTGGGGCTTCCCTGTGATTTACCATCTGATCCTGAATATAAAATTTAAAGTATTTCTTCTTTGTGTTTTCTTTCGTTTGTTTACTATGAATTTCATTTGAACTTGAAAGCCTTGGTATGGATTTTGATTTGGTTCTCCAAAAGTTTGATTTTGATTATTTCTTTTTTGGTTTTGTTTTTGCTTGTTTGCTTATGTTCTTTTTGTTTTCGTTTTTGCTTGTTTGCTAATCTTCCTTTTTGGTAGATGTTTTCTATTTCCTCTCAAGT